CGGGATATATGTAATGCGCCCGAGTGAGTCGCTAGCATTTAGCTTAGCTTTAGCATGTAGCCTAGCTTTAGCGATCTCCCTTGCCACTATTGGAGTAGAGCCACAACATGTTTGCAGCAATGACATTTACTAAACATTTTTCTTGCTCTGGCTTCAATTTCTTGATGTTTGGATTGAACCAGAACAGATTATTTTACTATCACATTCTCCGACAAACTACAACCAGCAAATTTAGCACAAACTCTTGCCGTCACCGACACCGACCTACAACACCCGCCTCCTCCGCTCTCTGATTGGTCGGAGGAGATTCAACCGAGGAAACTGCAGCCACTAGGATCAGACCCAGACGTACATGTAGGAAATGATCATGGACCAGAGTTTACACATGGTAAGACCCAGACGTACATGTAGGAAATGATCATGGACCAGAGTTTACACATGGTAAGACCAGACGTACATGTAGGAAATGATCATGGACCGGAGTTTACACATGGTAAGACCAGACGTACATGTAGGGAATGATCATGGACCAGAGTTTACACATGGTAAGACCAGACGTACATGTAGGAAATGACCATGGACCAGAGTTTACACATGGTAAGACCAGACGTACATGTAGGAAATGATCATGGACCAGAGTTTACACATGGTAAGACCAGACGTACATGTAGGAAATGATCATGGACCAGAGTTTATACATGGTAAGACCAGACGTACATGTAGGAAATTATCATGGACTAGAGTTAATGGATGGCTAAAGCTAGGCTAACATGACCCTGACCCTGTTCATATGTAAATCCATAATTATCTCATCACTTCAGTTGAAAGAATGTTCCACGGATTAGAATGTTGTTTTTGTGAAGCACAAAAACGTCATTTGTTATGAGCTAAAATATTCCAGTTGGTTTTAATGACCGTCCTCGTTAATGACTAAATGATCCAGTGACTCACTTTTCAAAATAACAGGTTTAGATTAGTACTTTGCATATGATTATTACACAAAACAGCGACCACAGGGGTCTGACCTTTCTGAAGAGTTTCTCAAGTGTCTTGGTATTTATCGCCATTTTTGTACAATGTTATAATCAGTTTGTTCAGAGCCACAGATTCTCATTTTGTTTTATTCATTTTTGTATTTTTCCTGTGGCTCAGAGAACAGACTTTAAAGCAGCCTTAGACATTACACCATTGGCTGATGGACTACTTTTTGAGTCGGAGTTTGGGACTGTGGACCTATTACTTCTAGAAACCCAACAAACCACCAGCGCACTTGTATTGATTGCAAATTCCTGTATATTATTTCACTTTGTCCCAATACAAAACCCACAATTGGACATATAGTGTCTTTATTCTTATTTAGACTTGTCTCACTCTTCTCAGGACCAAATCAGCATGTTCTGAATTTATCATTTCTCTAAATCAATAAGCAAAGAAGTAAGTAAAATCTTTTTCCACATTATTTTGACCAAGTAGGTGATATTGGATCATTTCCCAAGGCACACCAAATACCATCTGAAGGCACACAAACGGTCCACGGCCCACTGGTTGAAAAACACTGCTCTTAATCACCGCACGTACGTTGCCTTGTGTATGAACTGTGCTATACAAAAAAACCTGCCTTGGCTTGTCTTTACCTCAGCCCCCATGCTGTAAACTAGGTATGAATACAAGGTTAATTCTCCCCCAGACCTCACAACAGCATTTATTGAATTTGTCTTTAAGATTCTTTCAAGTTTAGTCCTGGTTTTGGATTTCTGTTGGACTTAATTTATTCATTAATTAATTACATGTTTATTTGAAAGGGACAGACCATAAAGCATTGTTACAGGTCACCGATGCCATGTACGTAGTATTGTCAAAAAGAAATGACGGACGTGTGTCAGAATTGGATGCAGAAATAAGACCAAGCATTCAAGAGTTAAGTATAAAACAATATTTAATTATTTATATAATTAAATATTAATATAAAACTCTGGGGGCTATTTTTATTTTTTTTATTTTTTATTTATTTATTCATTTATTTGACAGGGACAATGTAGTCATACATAGTTACATTATGAAAATGCAGCTGATGCGACACATACAGAGTGTATAGCTAATGCTAATTTTCAAGATTATTATTAATTCCCTATAACTAACCCTATGAGCTGAGCCATTTTAAGTCTCCCTCCAGACCTGAAAATATACTGAGGGGACATAAAGGTGCTCTGCGATGGTCCTCTGTCCCTGCTCAGACTGCAAACAAAATGTCCAACCAACAGTTTTATGAAAATGTCCGATGACGTCATATGGTGAGACCGACTGAGGCCCTGGTCTGGGTCTTGTCTAGCCCGGTTTTGTGTCTCATGCCTTGTCCCGATAAGAGAGAGGCATTCTGTTCCTATAATGATACTTATCACAAAAAAACGTCACTAAACTCAGGCTATATATTATATAAAGGCTTTTTATGCAAGCACCGAATGATAATCATTAGTATAAAACATTTTATGGTGACATTTCTGGAATCTACATCAGTAGCCGTGGAGCTAACCGCTAACTTGCAGACCTGGTCCCTAAGACACTTGTGGATATGGATTTTTGAAAAGTCTTGTGCCGTGAGGAGTCCTTCACAAACTCTAATCCAATGCATTTGAAAAAGTCTTCAGCCACAAGAATCAAAGAGTCGACCTTCTTCTTAGTGTCCGCCCACTCGCTCTGCAGCCTCCGCTCTGCACTGGCCATGACTCACTGACACTGATGATACAGACTCAGACTCACATCTCACACGTCAGAGATACTCCCTCAGCTCAGAACATACTCCCTCAGCTCAGAACATACTCCCTCAGTTCAGACATACTCTCTCAGTTCAGACATACTATCTCAGTTCAGACATACTCCCTCAGCTCAGACATCTCTCATGTCAGACATACTCTCTCAGTTCAGACATACTCTCTCAGTTCCGACATACTCTCTCAGTTCAGACATACTCTCTCAGTTCAGACATACTCCCTCAGTTCAGACATACTCTCTCAGTTCAGACATACTCCCTCAGTTCAGACATACTCCCTCAGCTCAGACATACTCTCTCAGGGCCGACATACTCTCTCAGTTCAGACATACTCCCTCAGTTCAGACATACTCTCTCAGTTCAGACATACTCTCTCAGTTCAGACATACTCTCTCAGTTCAGAACATACTCCCTCAGTTCAGACATACTCTCTCAGTTCAGACATACTCTCTCAGTTCAGACATACTCTCTCAGTTCAGAAATACTCTCTCAGTTCAGAACATACTCCCTTAGTTCAGACATACTCTCTCAGTTCAGACATACTCTCTCAGTTCAGACATACTCTCTCAGTTCAGACATACTCTCTCAGTTCAGACATACTCTCTCAGTTCAGACATACTCCCTCAGCTCAGACATACTCTCTCAATTCGTTCAGACATACTCTCTCAGTTCAGACATACTCTCTTAGTTCAGACATACTCCCTCAGTTCAGACATACTCCCTCAGTTCAGACATACTCTCTTAGTTCAGACATACTCCCTCAGTTCAGACATACTCCCTCAGTTCAGACATACTCCCTCAGTTCAGACATACTCTTTCAGTTCAGATCTCTCAGTTCAGACCTACTCCCTCAGTTCAGACATACTCTCTCAGTTCAGACATACTCTCTCAGTTCAGTCATACTCTCTCAGTTCCGACATACTCTCTCAGTTCAGACATACTCCCTCAGTTCAGACATTCTCCCTCAGTTCAGACATACTCTCTCAGTTCAGACATACTCTCTCAGTTCAGTCATACTCCCTCAGCTCAGACATACTCTCTCAGTTCAGAACATACTCCCTCAGTTCAGACATACTCTCTCAGTTCAGACATCCTCTCTCAGTTCAGACATACTCTCTCAGTTCCGACATACTCTCTCAGTTCAGACATGCTCTCTCAGTTCAGACATACTCTCTCAGTTCAGACATACTCTCTCAGTTCAGACATACTCCCTCAGTTCAGACATACTCCCTCAGTTCAGACATACTGTCTCAGTTCAGACATACTCTCTCAGTTCAGACATACTCTCTCAGTTCAAACCATAGACTATAAATATTAACGGATGTGGTCACGCCTCTCTCCGCCGTTGAAACTCATCTGCCACAACTTTTGCACGTAAGTAATGTATATTTATATAGCCCATTTTACAGACCAAGGTCACCCAAAACACTTAACAATATTCAGAGTTCAAATATTGTTCCAATCATTCCACACACGGTGATGACGGAAGCGAGTCGCCAAACACACTGGACCATCAGCTCCAATCAACACCATCCATTCAGTCTCTCATTTACATTACTACCTATTGTGCATGTTTTTAGTGGTAGGGGAAACCAGAGCACCCGGAGGAAACCTACACAGACACGGGGAGAAAATGCAAACTCCACTCAGAAAGACCCTGTTACGACCGGGATTTGAACCCAGGAATTTTTTTCTGAGAAGCGAGATCCACTCAGCCATCCCGCTGCCCCCAGAACCATCATCCTCTTTCAGCTGACCAAAGAAGTCACTGAGATACTTTATCAATCAACCAAGAAATATCTCCAGTCTCCATATCACGTTTCTTAATCGACTTTCCAGATCCTAAGACCTCTGCCACTCGGGATATAATGGGATCATTGTTCATACTAACAACAGCAACCACTTCCGCATTCGTTGTATAAAATGTATTCGTTACTTCATCACTGTAATTATTGTTTGAGAATGAAATGTGAATTTGAATAACAACAAATCAACAAATGACAAATTATTGCTATGCATAAACTTTATTTAATTATATCAGCCTAGAATTTAGGAACTATGTCCCAAAACTATAGGAGAGGACCGACAATGGGATAACATCTTCAAGAAAGCAACATGTGTCTCCTCAAAAATGGTTCAAAGTGTTGTTAAAAGACTGGGAACACATCTTCAAGAAAGCAACTTGTGTCTCCTCAAAAATGGTCAAAGTGCTGGTCCTCTGGGGTGGGCCTCCTTAGAAGGTAAAGGCCCTCCTCAACCTGGAGAAGAGCCGTGACAGCGCAGACTTGGGACGCTTCTGGAAGGATCTCAGTTCAGCGTTTATATGTTTCCCTGCAGCCGCTTCAAATGCAGCTGTGTCGTCCTCTCGAGCCGCCCTCAGGACTGCGGCTGCCGATCCATAATCTGCAGAGAGACGTTTGGCGGCTGCTTTACCAACTTTCTCTAAGTTCTTCAGCTTTATCTGGCAGTTTTCATCCAACTCAAGCTGCTGCTTGATGCTGTAATGCAGGCGGGCACCCATTAGACTGGCTTTACGGTGGTCTTTGGATCCAGCCAGTTTGAACAGTTTTTGGGTGAGTGCGTTGGTGATGAAGAAGGAGCCTTTGAGGGCAGTTGGAGAAATCCTACTTGGTTCAGTCAACGTGTCCGTTGATGAACTGCTTTCTAAAGACTCAGAGATATCCTCAGTGATAATGTCAGGTTGTGACGTAGCACTAACCGTGTCAGTGACCACTGTCTCTTGAGCCCTCAGAGAGGTCAAGTCTTCCAAAGGACTTGTTGGGCCATTTACATCGGTTTCTTCAAAGTTTGTGGTGTCGTCGTCATCAGACTGATCAAGGACTTTGTGAACTGTTACCTCCTTGTTTTCAGTCTGTGAGACTTCTGGTGACTGTTCCTGGTCAATCAGAAGTGCTGCTTGGTCAGCACCATCAGCAGAAGTGTCTTCGCAGGTTTCTAGATAAACAAACTCCTCAGGAGGTGTCTGAACCTCCTCCTCAATGTTAGCTAAGAAAACCTCTGCTGTTTCGTCCTGAGCAGCAGCAGAAGACAAAACAGATGTGTGGTCTGTTGGGGACTGGCTTTCCTCTGTCTGAAAGAAGTCGTCTTCACCAACAGCACATTCCTGGTTCTGTTGTGAGTCGTCAACCTCCTCATGGACATCAGTCTCCGTCTCTTGAGTTGTGCTGGCGTCATGGGGAACATCACAAATCGTTACCTCCTCACTTACAGTCTGCGTGAGTACTTGTGACTGTTCCTGGTCCCTCAGAAGTGCTGCATTTTCAACACCAACATCAGACATGTCTTCGCAGGTTTCTAGATAAACAAACTCCTCGGGAGGTGTCTGAACCTCCTCCTCAATATTATCTAAGAAAACCTCTGCTGCTTCGTCCTGAGCAGCAGCAGAAGAAGAAACAGATGTGTCGTCTGTTGGGGACTGGATCTCCCCTGTCTGAAAGAAGTCGTCTTCAGCAACAGGACATTCCTGGTCCTGTTGTGACTCGTCAACCTCCTCATGGACATCAGTCTCCATCTCTGGAGTTGTGCTGGCCTCACAGGGAACATCACAAACCGTTACCTCCTCACTTAGAGTCTGTGTGAGTACTGGTGACTGTTCCTGGTCCCTCAGAAGGGCAGCCTGATCAACACCATCAGTAGCAGTGTCTTCAGGGGACTCTACAAATACAAACTCCTCAGGAGGTGTTTGAACCTCCTCCTCAGTGCCATCCAGGAAAACCTCTGCAGCAGCAGATGTGTCCACAAATGTGTCCTCTGTTTGGGACTGGGTCTCCTCTGTCTGGATGGAGTCGCCTTGAGCTACAGAACATTCCTGGTTCTGTTGTGGCTCGTCATCCTCGGGGACCTCCTTAAGAACATCAGTCTCTATCTTCTGAGATGTGATGTCTTTTTTGGGTCTTGGCTCTCGCTCCTTGACTGCAAAGTTGTACCCAAACGAGTTGAGAACTTTTGAGGCCGCATTCCTTTTAGCGTCCTTCTTGTCCAAGCCGAGTCCCACCGCAGTCACGTCCGCCACCGTGACCTGGACGTAGAAGATCCAAGGATTCGACTGTTTGTCCACGTCCACAATCGTGTACTTTGGAGGAATCCCTTTCATGTTCACCACAATTATATCAAGACAAGATATGGGGTTATCATCGTCTTTGAAAGTGGGAAGTTCTCTCCAGCAGACGCCAGTGCGTTTCTTCTTCTTCTTCTCGTCAGACGGAAGAGGAAGACGTCGCAGCTCTGGGAGAACTTGTTGAGCACAAAGGTGTTTAGCTTCTGAAGCGGTGAATCCTTTAGCGTCTGCGCTAAAGTCACCGACCGTCAGACGATATGTGAAAATGGCGTTATGGATTGGTCCATCTTTCTGCACCATCCACAGCCTGATTTCCACACCATGCTTCTTAGCTAGCTCAAAGACCTCGCAGACCTCATCTTTATAGTTGATGTCGATCTTTTGAGGCAAAAACAAAGTGGATGCGTAATTACTTTCCATCTTTGTGGAATATAGCGAACTCGAAAGGCTTATTGTGAGTAGTTTTGAATCAAACTGTATCTCGACCGTAAACCCGTCTCGAATCGAAGTAAATTGACTCTCTTGGGTCCATGCCCCTAGCCGTGTTGGTTATCAAGCAATGACATCACAATAGAAGACAGTTACCATGGAAATTCTGTTGCCGATGAGACGATGGAACTCCTTCAGAATTCCAGAATCCCAGTGTGTTCTAAATTGACAGTGAATCCATTTTAATTTTTTTATTACTGCAGTACTTTAACAAATATTGGATTTATATTGATAATGCAAAATTGGAACAATAAAGAGAAAGATGAAAATTACACACTTTTCTCCCGTATTTGTGTAAGATTATTAATATTCTATTGATGTTGATCAGTGATTTTGTTCAACATTCCCATGACACAAATAGCGTCATTTCGTTCTCACAATAACATTACTGCTTTGGATTGAACGTTCTACATCAGACACATATGGTCACATTCTGCTGCCCCCAAACTGTGGAATGGTGACCTCTGTTCATCAGAGCAGCTCCTTCATTGGATGGTTTTAAATCTAGTCTAAAGACACATTTTCACTCCTTGGCTTTTACACCGATTGAGTTTTACCATTTAACTTTTACATGTGTATGTTTTTATACCGTTTTCTTCTCTTTTTTGTCTTTTGTGCCTGTGAAGCACTTTGGGCAGCTGTTGTTGTTGTAAATGTGCTCTAAAGTAAAGCTGACATTGACATTGACATAGTGTTTCCATTTTTTTTGCGCACGTTATTTTAGACATTTTTGAGCCAGGACCCGCCCCAACACAGGCTCAGAGTTACTCCCTCAGTTCTCTGACAATGTTTAAATCCAGGTTAAAAACTATTTTGTTTCGCTGCAACAACTGAAGGATTTTATTGTGATTATTTATGGGTTCATTTCTTGTTTTGTTCAGCACTTTGAAATGTGTATGAACAGTGCTTTACAAATAAACATTCAGCCGTACGTTCCTGTGTTGTCTTAAACTTGGGAGAAAGGTCTCAGGACGACATTATGTAGAAATGTTAAAGAATATAGAGTTTAAATCCAGGCACCTCCTCTGGTCACGGTAACAATTCTCCATCAGTCTGAGAGAATCCACTGGTCTGAAAACCAACAAACGCAATCGTAAAACTGGACAGTCACGGATTCTGTGAGTCATAACTTCTGCTCACGAACCAAAAGAAACAGAACAAAAATACACTGGGTACGAGGACCTGCAGCTGTGGTCAGATTTTACACAATCACATTATGCAAAAATGGAAAAAAATCACTGAGAGAATAACAGATGAATCAGCAGCCGGCAGAGTGGTTATCCCCTGCTTGCTCTATCTCGTCTCTCTCTTTCTGTTTTTCAGGGTGTGTGTGTGACAGGGGCGTGGCTCTCTCACCAGCTGAGATTCAGTTTATACACAAGCACAATGCACAGCAAAACACAACTGTTTTTAACCTTAATTTGCTAGAGAAGAAGCCTGTCTCACATTTTCAGGAAGACTGCTTTAACCATCCATGCTGCCTCCCCTGTGCTCCTCTGACTCCCAGCAGGAGGCCAGTCCCTGTGCTCCTCAGAGTCCCAGCAGGAGGCCAGTCCCTGTGCTCCTCTGACTCCCAGCAGGAGGCCAGTCCCTGTGCTCCTCAGAGTCCCAGCAGGAGGCCAGTCCCTGTGCTCCTCAGAGTCCCAGCAGGAGGCCAGTCCCTGTGCTCCTCAGAGTCCCAGCAGGAGGCCAGTCCCTGTGCTCCTCAGAGTCCCAGCAGGAGGCCAGTCCCTGTGCTCCCAGAGTCCCAGCAGGAGGCCAGTCCCTGTGCTCCTCAGAGTCCCAGCAGGAGGCCAGTCCCTGTGCTCCTCAGAGTCCCAGCAGAAGGCCAGTCCCTGTGCTCCTCAGAGTCCCAGCAGGAGGCCAGTCCCTGTGCTGCTTTAAAGTCTATTCTCTGAGCTGCAGGGTCACTCATCCTCCTGCCCTTAAAACTCTGGTTCAAACTCAACTTCTCTGTCAGATTACTCCATGTCATAAGTTGATGAATTATGTGAGTCTTTTGACATGTTTTGCTCAACACTTTGTTCTCGTCCAAACATCCATCCTGCTTCTTCTCCACTGCCCTCTTTTCTTTCTGTTTTTCGAAATATTAAATCTTGTCCTCACAAATAATCACACACCACACACACACACACGCAACACACACAACACACACACACACACAACACACACACACAGCACAAAACACACACACACACCACACACACACACACACACACCACACATATAACGCACACACAACACACATAACGCACACACAACACACACACACACACACAACACACACATACACAATACACACATATACAACACACACACCCACAATAGACACACAGAACACACACACAAACACACACAACACACACACACACACACACACACAATAAACACACAGAACACACACAACTTTTTAATGATGAATCCAACCACCCAAGGTCTCTGTCTCTGCTTTAGGGTCCAACACCTTCAACTCAACGACTGCCTCAAAAAGTCTGATCGAAAATTGAAAGGGTTCTTTTTCTGTGATGAAGACGTCATAAACTTTCCCATTTCCACCCAGAAAAAAGGAGGAATTTCAAAGTGACCTAATATAATATAGATGTATCGCAGTTTTTTGGGACAGATCCAGGAGCGGAATATTCGCCCGGGTTTTGCTTTTAAGACTCGTCCTTGAACCAGAGTTTCCACTGAAATCTCAGCATTAGAATTCTGACGGAGGAGTCTCACAAACGCAGACTGAATGTGACATCAATTAGAGGCATTCATGATTCGGAATTGAACGTTTAAAATGGAGGACAAGAGGCAGTCTGGGGATGGAGGGGTAAGCGAGACACTCTGAAAAACTCAGATGGGATTGGCTTTGGTATGAAATCTCTCTGAAGCTTTTACCTCTGCGTGTTTTTAGCTTTAGCAGCCGAACCCACCATCCACCAACCTCCTCTTTTTAAATTTTCTCTGGTAAATATATTCCAGCCCTAAATCACAACAGTACTTATCTCACAGGTGTTGGCAAAGCTGTCGATTCGCCAACACAGAACAGAGAAAATGCAATGATAAAAAACACATAGAGCCATTGGTCCATAAGAAGCAGAGACCAATGTCCATAATTGTTGATATACATGTCCATAAATGTTGTTGAAGTGTCCTGGATCAACACCTCTGTACTTAGACCCCGCTGCCTCGGCAAAGGAACAAGTCTAAAAACCCGGTGGGAAAAAGTGAGAAGCCTGCATTGAGGCCAGACAGGTACAGTATGGTCTAAAGTTGAGTTCACTTGAAGCAAAGTTGCTATAGATGTGGATGAGGGGTCTCAAACTGGTCCTCAAAAGTCTCGGTGTAGCTCCAGGTTTTCATTCCAACCAAGCAGGAGCACTCCACCAGACTCCACCCATTTCCTCAAGTCCAGTCTGAACCTGAAGATTTGAGGAAATGGGTGGAGTCTGGTTGTGCTCCTGCTTGGTTTGAAATACATTTTACTACTACTACTTCTTATTTTGGAACAGATTTGTGACTTAATTAGGGCTTTCTTCTGGATTTAAATAAACCCTGGAACAAATTTGGCTCAGAAGCTAAAGGCTACTAATAACAGCAGTAATTTACAATACACCAAGAACAATACACATACAATAATAAATGCACTGGAAACGGCAGCAAGTCCTATAGCTCTGAAACAGTTGTTCTTTTATTCTTTACAATTGTTATTTTCTTTTTCTGCCACTGTTGCTGCAGTACAGTGTTCATGATTGTGCACTGGTCCAGACCAGAGCAGAGACGATTCATGGTCCAAAACAAGAGGATCAGGTGAAAATCCACTGGAGGAACTTTTTGAAAAATGCTATTGAATCATTTAGCATTTTATTTTGGACCAGAGCAGAGAAAATGGTCCGAACCAAGACGCTGCTCTGCCTCTGCTGCTGTGACCTGAAGGACTGTTGTTATTATTACTATGGGCTCGCACGCAAGACTTCCACGTTTTAGTTATAACACCGCTTCCGGAGTATTCCGGAGTGCGGCTTGAGTTTCACTGAAGATGATGTTTACACAAATAATGGTCAAACTGTGAGGATACTGGTTCTTTTTGGGACACAGCAGTGCTCTTTGATTATCCTGTCATTGTGCTTTTATAAAGTTAACAAATCTCTCTGAGAGGCTACAGTCAAAGCTGCAGTATTCCTCAGAGAGAAAGCACAGCGACACTTGTGGGTCAGTCTCACAGCTGAACGTATCAATCTAATTACTGAAAAACATCACCACAATAACCACAAAGCCATAGCGCTAGCACAGACAGGAAGTAAACAAGCCGTTCTTTGTTTACAGGAAATGACATCACGCCTCCTCTTGCATATAGCCGTCTGTTAGCGTTTAAGAATCATCATTGTATTTGTCTTATTTGTTTGGATGGATGTGTTTTTACTGCTACTGAACACTTGCATTTCTCCAACCGGGATCAATAAAGTATCTATCTATCTATCTATCTAAAACTAATCTAACATAAACACACACACACACACACAACAGACATATACTGTACCAGTGCAGATTGATGAGATAATAAAGTGACCCGGGTTATGAGGGTATAAAGTGGGGCAGTGAGTGATGAGGGAAGAGTGTTTGAACAGACTTTAATGGTTGGATAAGTTCTCCTTAAGCAATCAGGAAGTGCCATAACACTAGAAACATGGAGTATATCACACTGTGTCTCGTCTTGCTTCTGGGACTGCAGTCACTTGTCCTTACTCTCTCTCTCTACTTTAATCTGCTTTAATCATTTTAAATCACTTTTATCCTGCGACAAAGCCTGGATTAATGCTTTTTTAGATTTCTCTGACAACTGCAGCAACCCATATGTCCGGAGGAGGAAAGAAAATGTTTTGTCTGTAGTCTCTGTTGGATCTATCAACAAGATATAGACCAAACAGGGATTTTTGATTTAGACTCCGAACTTGGGCTTCACCAAACTTTCCTATGAATTCAAATGGTCAACCAAGAGTCAACCATAGACAACCGAGGCCAACCAGGATGGGAATATTACCTTTAAGACCCATGAACATAGAATCAAGATTATAACAAACTAATGGTACAATTATTCCGCCTCTAAAATGTGTGACGTTCACACAAAAAAACGATATTCTTTCAGACAATGCCTTTTCTTATATTGGATAGGATGTTGCTGCTTAAACACCATGGACAAGGGACCACCTCTCTCTGGTGTCTCTATCTGGTCTCTTTCACTGGTCTCTCTGACTGGTGTCTCTGTCTGGTCTCTCTCTCTGGTCTCTCTGACTGGTGTCTCTCGCTGGTCTCTCTGACTGGTGTCTCTCTCTGGTCTCTCTGACTGGTGTCTCTCTCTGATGTCTCTCTCTGGTCTCTCTGTCTGGTGTCTCTGTCTGGTGTCTCTCTCTGGTCTCTCTCTCTGGTCTCTCTGACTGGTGTCTCTCTCTGGTGTCTCTCTTTGGTCTCTCTGACTGGTGTCTTCTGTCTGGTCTCTCTCTCTGGTCTCTCTCTGGTGTCTCCGGCTGGTGTCTCTCTCTGGTCTCTCTGACTGGTGTCTCTCTCTGGTGTCTCCGGCTGGTGTCTCTCTCTGGTTTCTCGCTCTGGTCTCTCTGTCTGGTGTCTCTGTCTGGTGTCTCTGTCTGGTCTCTCTCTCTGGTCTCTCTGACTGGTGTCTCTCTCTGGTGTCTCTCTTTGGTCTCTCTGACTGGTGTCTCTCTCTCTGGTCTCTCTCTGGTCTAAAGGTAAAGCAGAAGGTAAAGGTGCACTTTATCTCCCTGTCTAGTCGGTCTCTCTCTCTCTTTGCTCTCTCACTCTCTCTGGTTTGTTTCTCTCCGGTCTCTCTCTGATTGGTCACTCTGGTCCTGTGGAAGTAGAACCATTGCACCCACAGCGCAGGACCAGGAGAACCAGAGCTGACCAGAACATGTCACTTCTGCTAATGTTTGGGAAATTCATGGTGCGAGCAAGAACAAGAGCCAATGACACCAGGACATTGATCTGAATGGGCAGACATCTTGGAAACTTGGGGCAGACATCTTGGAAACCTGGAGCAGACATCTTGGAAAAACCAGGGGCAGACATCTTGGAAACCTGGGGTAGACATCTTGGAGAGACCAGGGGCTTGGTCAATAGGGGCCAAAACTTGAATAACTAATTCCATGAGCACTACCCTATCGGCCTTATCGAGCTAGCCGGTTAGCACTGTCCATCTGTGTACAGTCTGATACAGTTACTTGCGTGACCGACCTGTTCCGAGGTAGAGGACGCTGTAGTGCTCGTCGTTGACCGCCAGCGCGATGTCGGCCACGGCGTGTGTGATCTGGTCGTCCGTGGGCAGGTCCAGGGGTGCGATGCCCACCGGCCGGATCACGTCTTCAATCTCCGGGTGGTACCGGATCACCCCCAGGTTCTTGATGTCATTGTGGCCTCCTGCGGCGCTGGGGTCTTTACGCACACACTGTGGAGAAAGAGTAACATTGTCTGTTCAATAACAAGAAAAGTGCATCAAAATATTAATATTCTATTGTTTAGGGTCTTTAAACATCTGATATTGACATATTAGAAACAGAAACTTCCTGTGGCTCAGAGAAAATACTTTAAAGCTCTGTGTGTTACAAGTCTCTCCACGGCCTCGAACCAAAGTACATCTGTGACATGTTAGTGACAAATGAACTATCTCTGATTCTGAGGAGCACAGGGACTGGCCTCCTGCTGAGACTCTGAGGAGCACAGGGACTGCCCTCCTGCTGGTCCCAAAGCCAGGAACTGTGTGTCTCCTGTAGGAGCACCACATCTACTCCCTTCATCTGAATGAACTGGAACAGAGCAGCACGCTTCGCTCTGTCCCGGCAACAATTAATATTTAAACTGCCTATTTTAAAGTCACACATAAGGAAAAAAATGGAAAAAACACTAACAAAGTGGGATACTGAGATCAGTTAGGACCCTCACTGGCCACTTGGGCCCTGACTTTGCTTAGAAGTTTCTTAAGCCTGAATCTCTCCTGGTCTGTGAGAGCGTCCTCGTCCTGAGAGCTGGAGCTCCACACCAGGGGCCGGGCCGTCTCAGAGAAAAGCTTCAGGTTAGGAAAGTAGTTTTCTACTTTTACACTCCTCATCCCTTTAGTGTCTCTCAAAAACTTTCTTATGTCTGCAGCTGAACATGACTTAACACCTTTACTCAAACTGCGTGTGACTTTAAACGGTTTCTCTGTGCTCTGAGAACTGCCTCCCTTTCTCTTCTGAGGATAGAGACACTGCTCCCCATCTGACATCTCCTCATCTAAATACTCAGAGTCACTGTCTCCCACACTGCTCAGCTCCTGGCTCATGTCACACACCTGCTCCTCGGGGGGAGGAGGAGTGCTGTCAGGGTCATTGACAGCAGTGGGGGCCTCCACCGCGGGCCCCGCAGCGGGCTCCACCGCGGGCCCAGCAGCGGGCCCCGCAGCGAGCTCCACCGCGGGGTCCACCGCGGGCTCTGCAGACCCGGACCCGCCGTCTGGGTCGTCGGGGGGGTCCCCAGCAGCGCCGTCCGCGGGGGGAGGTGTTGGGGCCGGGGGCACATCCCCCGATGGCTCCGCTGCCTCCGCGCTGGTCTCATCTGAGGCTGCAGAGGTGCTCGGTGTCTGTGCGTCATTACGCGGCACATTCTGATCCATTCGTTCCGGACACGCTCTGATCAGGTGACCCTCTGCGCCGCAGCCAAAACATTTCATGTTCTCAGATGATGCAAAAATCACATAACTGAATCCATCAACTTTAAAAGTGAAGGACAGGTTTAATTCGGAGTTATCCTTCAGCACCATGAGCACCTGTCTGCGGTGGCACACTACGTGTCTGAGCAGCGGTGACTTACAGCCCAGTGACATCATTTTAATCGGTGTCACCAGCTGTCCGAACCGGGACAGTTCTGCAGCTAGAGTCTCGTTCTTGATAAACGGAGGAGCGTTGGAGACGATGACCCGCCTGGCGGGACTCACCAGCGGCAGGACAGAGGTGAACAGGCCCTGGATGGTGGCTCCCTTCTCCACGGCCTCCGCCACCTTCTCAGTGCTGGACAGAAAGATCACGACCGCCCCGTTCATACGTGAAGCAGACTTGATGTGGACGTATCCCACTTCTTTCCCCACAGCGAGTATCGCCTCCTCCACAGAGCAGGACGCCGCAGTCACAAGCTTCACAGCGTGACGCCGCGTCAGCTGCTCCAAACCTCTGTCCCCGGCCATCCCGGGCGTTACGCCTCGCCCGGAGGCCGGTACACGGGCAACAAACACTCCGAAACACAAGCGCACGGTAATCCAGAGAAACACTTTGGCAAAAACCACAAAAATACTCAAAAAACTCCACTCGAAACCACGCGCTCTCAGTCAAACCAACCGGAAGCGGAAGAGGAGAGAGGGGAAAGGAGAGAGAAAGAGACTAGAGAGAGACCGGGGGAGAGACCAGAGGGAGAGACCAGAGGGAGACCAGAGAGAGAACAGAGAGAGAACAGAGAGAGAGAGACCAGAGAGAGAGACCAGAGAGAAAGAGACCGGAGAGAGACCAGTGAGAGAGCAGAGAGAGAGCATAGGGATCCCAGAGCGAGATCCGAGAGAGAGACCAAAGAGTGAGCAGAGAGAAAGAGACCAGAGAGAAAGAGACCAAAGAGAGACCAGAGAGAGACCAGTGGGCGACCAGAGAGAGAACAGAGAGAGAGAGACCAGAGAGAGAGACCAGAGAGAAAGAGACCGGAGAGAGACCAGTGAGAGAGCAGAGAGAGAGCATAGGGATCCCAGAGCGAGATCCGAGAGAGAGACCAAAGAGTGAGCAGAGAGAAAGAGACCAGAGGGAGAGAGACTAAAGAGAAAGAGACCAGAGAGAGATCAGAGAGAGACTAGAGAGAGACCAGATAGAAAGAGACCAGAGAAAATCCAGAGAGAGACTGGATAGAGACCAGAGAGAAAGAGACCAGAGAAAATCCAGAGAGAGACTGGAGAGAGACCAGAGAGAGACCAGAGAGAAAGAGACCAAAGAGAGACCAGAGAGAGACCAGAGAGAGACCAGAGAGAGACCAGAGTAAGATACCAGAAGGAGATCAGAAAGAGAAGAGAGACGGTAGAAAGACACCATAGAGTGATCAGTGAGAGAGAGACCACAGAGAGAGAGAGAGAGAGAGACCAGAATAAGGGACAGATGACCAATATCCATAAATATGTCCTGGATCATCACCACTGTCCTGGACCCTCCTGCGTTGGTCAGAAAAAGCTCTAAACTCTACAATCCCAGTGGGAGAAACTGAGAAACCATCGCTTCCTCTCTCTGGTCCTTCTCTTTAACTTGTCAACAGTATTTCAGAGGGTTCAGACACATCCGAGATCCCTCCTCCAGGCACAACAACGTCCAACTCTCCGACATCACGAGTGGCTGTAAAGTGCACGAGGGTCCAGTGGTTCTGACCCAGAGCGGCCGGAGAGGGTCAAAGCCCGCTGTAAACAACTCCACAGAAGCTCAGGTCGTTTCATTTCCTTCACTAACTCTGACAGAGCCATCGCAGAGAGAGAGAGAGAGAGAGAGAGAGAGAGAGAGAGAGAGAGAGAGAGAGAGAGAGAGAGCTGCCGGCCTCTTTCCATCACCACAGCCTCGCACAAGCACAAATGTCACCGTTCATCCAGAGCCCGGCCCCCTGCAGCTGAGCCAGAAGAGGGGTGTCCTGGGGATTAGAGACGCTTTGACTTCACAGGGGTCCCATAGGTGCAAGGAGCAGATCTAAAACACATGTAATTAGCCCGTGACATTAGCCTGAATGCTACATCCTTAGCCTGTATCCAGAATCAGAATCAGAATAATTGTTTTTGCCATGTCAGTAACAGGAAGACTCAGAAATTGCCTTGGCTCTCGGTGCAAACAAGTCAAAAGTAGAGAATGAATGAGGCATAATAAAACATTTCTACAGTACAACCTTTTTGAAAATAGATAAAATTATAAATAAAATAATTACTGTTTCTGCTATATACATGTGAACTTGGTGGCTTTAAAAGTGCAGTAAAGTGACATTAGCCTATTATGTATGCGTGTATACTGTATCATTAGCCTAAAACAATAGCACAGACACTACATAATTTGTCCGTTACATTAGTATTTCATTCATAACATAAGTTACTAATTATAGAGACTTGCGACTCGACTTGGACTCGTCCCTCAATATTGTTCTGTCTATTTTCTGACGTTAAAGTTACATATTTTCCAAAATAATCTTTCAGAAGCATTGTTTCAAAAAGTGCAAACTGAGCAGAAAACCGACTCCTTTTGTATGCCAAATGAGAAATACAATGGAGGCCAGGAAGAGACCAGAGAGAGACCAGAGAGAGACTAGAGAAAGTCTAGAGAGGGACTAGACAGAGATCAGAGAAAGAGAGACCAGGGAGAGATCAAAGAGAGGGACCAGAGAGAGCAAGAAGAGAAAGAGACTCGAGGGACAGACCAGAGAGAGAGACTAGAGATAGAGACAAGAGACCAAAGAGAGGGACCAGAGAGAGAGACTAGAGATAGAGACCAGAGAGACCAAAGAGAGGGACCAGAGAGACCAAAGAGAGGGACCAGAGAGAGAGACTAGAGATAGAGACCAGAGAGACCAAAGAGAGGGACCAGAGAGACCAAAGAGGGGGACCAGAGAGAGAGACTAGAGATAGAGACCAGAGAGACCAAAGAGAGGGACCAGAGAGAGAGACTAGAGATAGAGACAAGAGACCAAAGAGAGGGACCAGAGAGAGACTAAAGATAAAGGCAAGGCAAGGCAAGTTTATTTATATAGCACAATTCATACACAAGGCAATTCAAAGTGCTGAACAGAACAAGAAAGCATTAAAATCATAAATAATCACAGTACATTAAAAAAAAGATAAAAATATAAAATCCCTCAGTTGTATGCACAGCTAAACAGAACTGTTTTCAACCTTGTCTTAAACATTGTCAGAGAGGAGGCCTGTCTCACATCTTCAGGAAGACTGTTCCAGATTTTAGCAGCATGAATCTGAAAAGCAGCCTCCCCATGTTTAGTTCTGACTCTGGGCACTAACAGGAGTCCAGTCCCTGTGCTCCTCAGAGTCTGGGCTGGTTCATATGGTACTAACATGTCACTAATATAGTTTGGTGCGAGGCCATGGAGAGATTTGTACACAAGCAGAGCTGTTTTAAAGTCTATTCTCTGAGCCACAGGAAGCCAGTGCAGGGACCTGAGGACCGGACTAATGTGGTCGTACTTCCTGGTTCTAGTCAGGACTCGAGCTGCTGCATTTTGAATGTACTGCAGCTGTTTTACAGCCTGTTTGGACAGACCTGTGAGCAGGCCATTGCAGTAGTCTAACCTACTGGAGACAAATGCATGGATAAGAATCTCCAAGTCTGCTTTAGACACTATGTTTTTGATCCTGGCAATGTTTTTTAGATGGTAAAAAGCTGCTGATGTTACTGATTTGATGTGGCTATTAAAATTTAAGTCTGAGTCCAGTATTACCCCTAGATTTCTGACCTTGTTTGAAGGTTTTAGGGAGAGAGACTGTAGGTGACAGATGACGCTCTCTCTTTGTTTCTGGGGACCAAAGACAATCATTTCAGTTTTGTCTGCGTTTAGCTGAAGGAAGTTGTTTTGCATCCACTCACTGATCTGTTGGATACAGTGAAGGAGTGAGTCCACTGGTCCATGTTCTCCTGCAGTCAGTGAGACATAGATCTGAGTGTCGTCTGCATAGTTGTGATAGGACACTTTGTTTCTGCGTATTAACTGACCTAGCGGCAGCATGTAGAGATTGAACAGAAGAGGTCCCAGGATCGACCCCTGTGGTACTCCACAGGTCAGGGCCATATGATCTGAGACACAGTCTCCAATCTCCACAAAGTACTTCCTGTCTTCAAGGTAAGACCTAAACCAACTTAGGGCGGTGCCAGCGACTCCAACCCAGTCCTCTAATCTCTGTAAGAGGATCTCATGGTCGACGGTGTCAAAGGCAGCACTCAGATCTAACAAGATTAAGATTGAGACTTTGCCTGCGTCAGTGTTCAGCCGGATATCGTTTGTAACCTTGACAAGAGCAGTCTCAGTGCTGTGGTGGGGTCTAAAGCCGGACTGAAACATATCAAATGATATAGATATAGACCAGAGAGACCAAAGAGAAGGACCAGAGAGAGAGAGCAGAGAGAGGGACCAGAGAGACTAAAGAGAGAGACTAGAGATAGAGACAAGAGAGACCAAAGAGAGAGCAGAGAGAGGGACCAGACATCTGTAAAGCTCTTTGGTTGGTGTTGTGTTTATGTTGATATACAATGGTAGTTGACATCAGGAGGAGGATGTAGAGAAGCCACAACGTTGCAATGTTTAATGTTTAAGATAAGAATTGAATGAAGATTTAACTTTATTTATCTAAAAATTGATAAATTACATGATACAATTAACTTCATTATTTCAATCATTAAGCTTCAGCTTCTGCCAATAAACAGGAAATGTACAAACAGTAAAAAAGTAAAAACAATATAGTATTTAAGTGATTAGATATTTGACAAATAGTATAAACATTAGCAGCTATGATGACCTCAGACCGGAGACTTCGAGACCTGGGATCAGGACTGGTCTCAGCTCAAACCAGTCCAAAACAGTAGCTTTAATAATGTTGTATTTTAACTATAATGCATTAGTGTTAAGTCAGCGGTCCCTGTAGTCACCCTTCCCCCGGGGCACCGTCTGCTGCTGCCACCTTTCTGCTGAGCCACTGTTCTGATCAAAGTGCACAGAAATAGACGGCTGTAAATAGAGTTAAGAATAGAAACGCAGTCTGGATTGTCAAAGATGGTTTAATAAATATGAAAGGCGTCAGGAGGCGGCGCAGACAGGCGGAAAGAGGCTCAAGTTTTCCAATAAAGTTGCGCAGAAGGAGACGGACGTGTAACTCAGACTCAGAGGAGCTAAAGAACAGTGTCTGACAATAGAAAATAATTAAAGCTGAGATACCTAACTTTGCAACCACGAGACATGAGCCTGAAGTGAAAGGTAGCTAACTTTATCCGTCTAAACAGTTTGATTCCATCGCAAGTTTTCTATGTATGTATCTGTGGCCTCTGTCAAAGCTTCAGGAGAGACCAGAGAGAGAGGGAGAGAGAGAGAGAGAGACCAGAGAGAGAGAGAGAGAGAGAGAGAGAGAGAGAGAGAGAGAGAGAGAGAGAGAGAGAGACCAGAGAGAGAGAGAGAGAGAGAGAG